ATAAGCTTTTCTTATGACTTTAGGTTCTCTGGTGCTACATTTAATATTTGTCTGGGGCTAAACTGCCTCTCTGTGGTGCTACAGTTTCCCCAAAAGGACGTTCTGAAACATGGGACAAGGAGAAATCTATTTTGGTTATTAATATTTATACACAAAATAGCAAAAAATAATACTTGTTGAGAAGGTGCTATTTTTTTCTTTCTTTTGACCGCTACATAAATTTAAGACCAACCAAATAATCTAGCCCAGAACTTTATAAATTAATTTGCTTTGGGTCAATGTTTTTTCTTTTGATGGTTCGGTGCTTGGGAAGCAGCATTCACTGAGGTGGTGACGAACCACCAACTCTTTTCACTGCAGCATAGGGGAACTTGGCCCCCCAAGTCAAAGTCCACTAGTCCAGAATGTCCTATAGCTCTGGAGCTGGATGTTCTCCTGGATGGTGATAGAAAAGGTCTCAAAGCCTGTGAAGTAGGGAAGAAAACTGTATCTGGAGTAATCAGTAGGCTAGAGGGTAACAGGAGAACTTGTCCTTAGACGTCAGCGGGCTTTTTCCAGTCTAGTGCTGAGCACTTTTTTTCTTGCAGGCAAAACTACTTGTCAGATTCAGGATACCTTCCGGATTACAATGTTATTTACAGTGATTATTACATACATTTTTTTAGAAACGTTTTTTCCAGCTTCAGATATTTGCACCAGAAAATTGGCTTTCACGTGACAGAGGGAACCCAGATTGCAAAGGAAATTTGGCCCCTATCTTTTAAGTTTCCTTACCTTCATCCAACCGAGGAACACACTGAGCGAGCACTGTGTCCCAGTCAAACCTTGCATTTTTTCACTATTGGAGGAGAAATGTTTCTAAGCAATCTAAAAGCTAAATTCTCCCTCTATCAAATACTCAGCAATGTGTTTTGGGCCCCTGCACACATATTCATGGGGATTATTGATTTCAAGTCAATTCACAAGCAGGAGAAAGGGCTATGCTGAAAGAGCAAATTGTTCCTAATGAATAACCTTGCCCTACTTTATATTATGTGCAGCGTTGGGAAGAACATGCAGCTAAGTGTATTTTGTCTATTGATAGAGTTCGGATGGCTGGAGAACCACAGGGAGTATATCTGCTGATAAAGCATTTTCCTACCATTTTTGGCCTGATGCTCAGTAGTACGCAGCATCCTACACTCCTTACTGGCTCAAATCTCCTACTGAACTAAATAAGAATTTTTCTAGCAAAGGGAGGAGCCGCAGCTGATTTCAGCAGTGTTGCAAGTGCCGGATCAGTGACTGCTGGATCAGGCCTGGTCTTTTAAAAATACAGCTTTCTGCAAATCACTCAAAAAGGGAAGTGAAATTGCATGTATCGTATTGGAGCACAACAGTCAGATTCAAACAGAAAATAATTGATTGGGAAGACTGGATGCAAAACTTGACTATACAGCACACGCACCCTGCGTCGGGACGTCTTCCCTCCACACCTGCAAAGACACAGTATAACCCCGGTCCCACCGAGCGAGGCAGCCTCGTGACACTGCATCTGGCATATGAGCTGGCTTATGTTTCTCAGCGCAAGAGAGAGAGAGGGCTCTCCCCCAGTATCCCTCGCTTTTAGCAGTTATTAGCTTCTGAATGTTTAATAAACTCCTCACCTGGAATATGCATTATTCCCCTTTATCCCTTGCATCGTCGGTGCAGACAGTTTGCACTGCCGTTGGTTATTCTGCCACACTGGCTACGTGGGTCTGCAGCCCTGAGACTTCTTGCAGCGTTTTTTCCCAAAGAGGGAATTCCCCTGAAACATTAAGGCACAGCAAAGGAAAAAGAAAGCTCTGGTCTTACCACAGCATCCCCCCACCTTGGGAAAGCCCCTTACATCAGCAATCAACCGCCGCAGTGAAGTGACTGGCTAATCTCCCTCAGTCCTAACTTATGCTAGACAGGCTTTTCTAAAACCAAACCAAACCAAACCAGAACTCCCAGGGTATCAGTCTCTTCCTTGGTTGTTCCCAACATCCAGACAAAATGATAAAAGACACTTGCTGCCTTTTCTTATTTTCACGAAACAACCACCAAATCTTATGGTGCTTCCCAAGCGAAAACAAGAGCAGGATTAGGACCCCTAACCCGGCTTTAATCCTGATTTGCTTGGCTTTTGGAGTTTTAAATTGGATGCTTAATGTGAACTGAGGGTTAAGTTCTGGAGACGCTTTTATGCTAGTCGCTGGGTCAAGCAAGCTTTGCTAGAGAAATGGCTTACCAGCGCTTTATAGCCAGCATTCACTGTACATAAATCGAATGACTTATTAGAGGGTATGTATTTGTCAAAGCCTTACATTTTCTGGTATAACTGCTATTCTTGAATGCCTCCATTTTTTGACAAGGGGTGTTTTTATCCTTTTTTAAATATCTGATTTAACCCTGGTTGATGTTTGTATTTGAAACGAAAGCATGCTGTATACTCCCCTAGCGCTGTGCCTCCTGCATTGCAACAGCTGTGAGAGGTGGTGGTGGGGGGGGGTTCTGTACCTTCCTAATGGGTAGGAAACCAGCACAGTCCCTCTCTCCTGGGCGCTCCTCTGTTTTTTTACAGCAGCCAAGAAGTCATTGATTTTGATTAGCTTCGCAGTTGCGCCTCCGTGAAGACTTGGGGAGTGCTCTCTAAATGAAAAAGAAGACCTCATCTTAGGTTTCAGCAGACGGTGCGTGTGCAAGCCAGAGGAGGAGGTTATGAGATCATAGTCTATATAGAACGCCGCATAATGTGGCTGGGAGGAAAGTCTTTATTAATTTTTAAAGCAGCACTCCACCAAGATAGCTCCCATCACATATTGGAACTTCATATTTCAAGGTAGAAAAGCAGTACAGCGTGGACTACTAATCAGCTCCTCTCCCCCTGCCTGTTACAAGGAAATCACTCGGCCAAATTCATTGCAGGCTAGGACCACTGTCTGGTTACAGACAGCTGGGTAACACCTAGGACAACATTTAGCCCATTGAGTCCAGATTCCTCCTTCTTCTCTCTTGCAACTATTCTCACTAGGTAAAAAAGACGGAACAGAACCTGTTCTACCTCTTATATTGCGCAGAAACAGCAATGTCTCCTGTGTCATGCACTTTCATGTGCGGAGAACAAGCATCACCCACTAGAAAAACACTGCAAATTACCAAAATCAATGAGTTCCAGTGATGAGAGATGAGAAAACCCATCATACTTCTGTTTTAGAGCATGCAGGCATGCAGAAATTACCCTAATTTAGCTAAGCCCATTACTAAAGCAATTTACTTAAATCAGTCTGATCTGATTTGTGAATTTGTTTTGTTTCTATATTATGCTAAAATTGTAAGGGTCTCAACTCCACTGCCGGAGCAGAAGCAGTACCTTTTAACAAAACTGACTGCAAATATACTTGGTTAAACTGGTGCAGTTTCTACATCCACATGCACCTTGGACTCGGGCGCTTTCCCTGCTGGCTTGTAAGACAAAACAATTCGGTAAACGCTACTATCCCCATAGTCCTCGCAGCGTGAGCGGCAGAGGAGAATCTGCCTTGGGGAGGAGTGGAGAATGGGGCAGCAAAGCTGAAGGAGCTCTTCCCCTTCTGAAAAAACTGCACTACCTCGTACAAAATGGTTAATGTCGACAGGATAGTACATCCACCTTAATATTCAATTTTAATCTTCCTGTAGTTTTTAGAAGACAGCTGCATATGATCTCTTTGACAGAAGCCTGAGTTGTAGATAAAGAACTAGTTATGGCTCCAAATTAAATGCTGGACCCATGTATTTTGTACATGCGTCTAAACTTCCTGGCTATATTCTACCTCCACAGCAGGTCAGACAAGAAGTTTGTTGCCAGTTTGACCTGGCAACTTTATTTCAAAATCCAAAAGCCTAGGGAAGTCTAAATAAAAGGGGACTTGATCTTCCTTAGGCAAACACTGATGTATCAGGTAGTCTGAATGGAGGAGAGGAATCTGCGCATGTGGCTTCTACCTTCCTTTTCCAATTCTGTCCCGGTCTGAAGACGACCATTATATTTAAAAGGATATCTTTACTCATAGTACAGGCACACCCCTCTCCCCAGCAAAAGACACTTTTGTGCCTCTTCCCTTTGTCCATCCTACTGGCTTGACTCACGCTCCATCTGCCTGTGAAGAACCTCCATCAGCCTATACCCCAAGCGCACTCCCAAACTCAGGTCTTCCAAACATCAGTGCTGCCATTAACAGCTGTGGGAAAAAGCTGACTGTTAAGAGTCAAAGCTGCAGAATCTGCATTCCCCATCTGCAAGAGAAATTTAAAACTACAAAATAGAAAATAGCAGAATATTTTTTTCTAACTATTTATTTGAATACAAGAGTGAATTTTGATTTAACTGTGATCACGCTTCTTCTGTGTTCACTCTGCATGACTATTTGAGTACTTGAATTTCACAAGTTTTTTAATATTTACATAAAGTGACTTGGAGCTTGACAAATATTCACTGAAAGCATCTGGGTATTGAACTGTCAATCTCCATCCATACTGCATTATTAATTACGCATGCCACTTCAGTAGAGAGCAAAACCAGCTACACTGGGGTTTGGTTTTCATGGATATTCACAGCAAAATCTTTCCAATCAATTTCAAGACCACAGTTTATCACAAGAAGAAACCTTCCCATCACCCTAAATCCCGAGGACATTTGAAAATTTTCCAGTCTGCTCCCAGATGCATTGCTAATGGAATAAATTAGATGAAATGCAGTGAATACACAATTCCTTGCACATTATCGATTTAGTTCTATCTGAATGTAAACTTTTGCAGAGTCACTGTGCAAGTTTCCTCCCTCACCAAAGCAAGGGCAAAGCATAACTCACTGCTGATACAACAAGCTCACAAAGGCTCTTGTTTATCGTTGGATGTGGCTTCTCTCTTTTGTAAAAGGAATTTCATATGCTGAGACTCTTTGTACATATTTATAATGACTTTATTAAAAAAAAAAAAGAAAAATAACTGTTCACTGGGGAAAACAAACATCGGTTTTTATTTTCTCTCTAAAAATAGAGATAACAATATCCTTCCACAACTCTGATCCTTTTCCCATGGAAACCAATAGAAGTTTTTCATCAGGTGGCACTGGAGCAGAAGTCGCCTCCCTGTAGGTTTTCTGGTCTAAATGTCATGTTTGAGGAGAGGGCACAATTATTCAGCCCCACAAAATCATCACCACGACTTAACTGAGAGGGAACGGTATGACAGACTATAACAGCACAGAGCTGTGACTCGCACAGTGCCCAGCCCAGAAGAGGGACGGAAGGATGTTGTTTTAATCTAACAGCTGTGTAATAGTGGCCTGTAGGAAATTATTCAGTCTTACAGGAATTAAGCTGATCTTTGTTATGCTTCCAATAAATGTCCACAGCACAAAATTTCACCTTATATTCAGCTGATTAATCTTAACAGAGATGTGGAGCACTGGATGGTCCAGAGACTCAGGCACCCATGCACTCTCCGATACAGGCTCTTCCTGCAACGAAGGCCGAACACACAGAAAATCGCATCGCTGCGTTTTGTCAGTGATGTACCTGGTTCAAACAGCAAGAGGCTTTCAGTCTCCAAGGATACCCAAACAGCAACTTTCACGGGTTTCTGTTATAATAGGACAATAGAGGATTGCGGTGGGTTACAGGCACACAGGTGGCAGATACCATGGAAACACATCACCAGAGGGGCAGCCAGACATCTGCATAAGAATGGAAATACTGCCTTACATTAGAGGGGGAAAGTAAAAATAAAGACGGGACCCTTGAAATCAGGCAAAATAAAAATTAAGGAGCAGAAGTTCTCTAGCAAACTATGATGCCAGTGCAGGGATTCTTCCATGTGTACCAAAGCACCCAAGCATGAAGTCTTACCCCATGTTCTTTCCGAGTGTTTGGGCTGAAGCGGAACATTTCAGCTTTGTGATGATGCTAGCCCCTTCTTTCTTACTCAGATTGCCAACTGGGAAAGAACAGTCAATAAAGAAAAACATGTAAAGAAAAAGGAGGACTGTAAGGTCAGAAAAAAAATTCTTCCCCATACTTTCTGTTTGATTAGCTTCCTCCTTTCTCACCAACCAAAAACGTAATGATTTTGAACCAGTGTATCAAATGCTATCTGTAGTTTCAGGCTCATATTGACTTTTTTATACACTTCTCCAAATACATTTTGCAGGAACATTCAGAAAAAGATCAGAATTAAAAATGTCTTTTCAAACACTTTGAAAGCAGATACCACCAATCCTTTAATTAATTGGCATTGCACTGAGAACTGAGGCTGGCCCTTTTCATAATAAATTTGAGTCTGCCTGCTGGCAGATTCAGTAATTTGCCCTTTTCCTGACAACTATACTAGACTATCATACATAACATTTTTATGTCCACCAAAAATCTTTCTACATTCCTTACTGAACTCTCTCCCCCACCCCATGAAGGCTCTTCACACCAGAGCTGCTAGATTCCTTGGCTTAGTTTCCCACTTTCACAGGATTCATTTGAGAAGAATCACATCACTTTTACTTTGGAAAGTAAAGCTTTTCCTCCTCTCTACTTCCTCATGTCTCTCAAGCCAGATTTGGACTATCTTCTTTGCTCAGGCACTGCCTCTCATCATTTCTCCTCTAGTCATACTTAACTATTATTTCCAAAGAAATGCTGAGCCTTAATCCTGTTACCATTAGCTCCTGTTTGCTTTAATTCTTCTCTCTGTGGAGCTTCACAGCAGGAGGGGAAGGTGGCAGCCAGTACATACACATAGGCTCATTTCCCCCAGGTACAGTTCTTCCTGATTATCCACTCAAGTGGGATTGTAACCTTACGGCCATTTCCATAGTAATGAGCATGGAAGATGCCACAATTGCCTAATGAGGCACTTTCTCTGGGCGTACAGCAAAAAGCAGAGGTTGTTTAGTGAAAGAGAAGGCTCCAGCGGAAGAAACAGCAACTCCATTTGCATGCAAGTGTCACCCTCAGCAGAGATGGAAATAGCAGCAATCACTTCCTCTTAGGATATGCAGTATGTTAATTTGCCTGTTAACAATACAAGGCATCTCCTCAAAGAGCCTTTTCTGAAGCAGAGGTGTTAACAATCAAGTCTCCACCATCACAGGTGGATTATCCAGCTTGTATATAAACCAAGCTGGCTCCTGAAGCAATGCAGCTGCTTCTGTATAATGCTGTCCTCAAGCTAGTAAGTCTTACTAAATCCAGTCTCTCCAGGGGGGCCTGTATCCTGATGCCCCAGCATTTCTGGTATCAACAATGCTATATGGGCGCAGTGCTGCATTAGCACAATTTTTCTGGTCCCAGGCAGGTCCTGGATGTGGAACGGCACTGTATTTTAAAGCCAGCAAGCCTTGCCTCAAGGGCTGTGCTGAGGACCATGCTGCAGAGATACCTGAATTTGCGATATGGTTTGGTTAGGACGTTAACTTCTCACCTAGTCAAATCGAATTTGACTTTAACCTCTCCCTGCCTCCCACTGCTCTCCCATAGGCTAGGAAATCAGAAAGTCTGACCACGAAAATTAGAAGAAAAACGTTCCCGAGATAAGCAAGTGTCAGTTCTAGGCTCACTAACATGGTCTTTCCCAAGTTCCTTGAGATTCAATTAAGATGACAACACATACAATTTCTAGAATCAAATGCAAAAACAAGGCTCCTGGGAAATGATGTTCTCCAACCCCCAAATAGATTTTTGCACATGTGGCTCTGAAGCACTGTTTTTGGAAGAGTTCTCACAGGTAATATAACAGCAATAACGTAACTTTGTCAAGTGACAACTTCAAGGAAGTTGTGGCGATGATTTAATGTGAAAAATCTCACCTGCAGTTTGAGCCAGAGGACAGCTTTTTTTCCAGTGTACCAGGTTATATACATGCAATGGTGAATTCACAGCATGCTTTACTTAGACATGCAACATTTACCTATACTAAAAGGACAGAAAAAAAGGAAACATTCTAGGCAGTTTATAACATGTATGTTCAAGAAAAAATCTAGCTTAGCCACGGAGGTTGCCACAACATAAAACATATCTTTCTCGCCTTTCAGGACAATGTTTCTGACTAGTAACAATTGTTTCACTGGTTGCTGGAGAAGCAGAGCTGGGAGAAAGGCCAAGACAACAAGTCCACAGGCAACTAAATAGGTGTATGAGACATCAAAAGATTTTCCAGCTTTTTCTTGTCTCCGCACATGTCATTCCATGTGTTGGTATGCATTGGTTTTAATACACCTGGAAATGAGCGGAGGTGGTGCCGTCTTTCCAGCAACGCAGGGTGTCTACTGTGACAGAACGACAAAGAGGACAGGTCTTCTCCCTGTCAAACCAGAGGCAGAGGCATTCTTCACAAAACACATGCTGTGGAGACAAAAGAGCATCATCACAATGAGGACAGGAGATCCAGTCCTGTTTCTAAGTGTACACTCTCAGCCAGACAGCCATGGGAGCAAGAAACCATTCGAGTTCAGGTAGACAGTGCAGCTGATCAGCAACACTCAGCTGATATGAAAAATAAATCCCAATATTACTAGTACATCAGTTTCCCAAAGGTAATAACATGTTACTCTGTTTCTTCATACAGCAACAGAAAGAAATGTGAAAAAGGCCTGGGATAGCTGAACTAACAGAGTAGTTGAGAGCAGTAACAGGCTGTCACTCTAACCTTTTTTTTTACTCTTTTTCCATGCCACGCACGCCTCACATCCCTGGCTTGTTTTACAAAGCTTTACTTAGCTCAGACAGTTCCCTTTCCTCTCCCCACTCCTTACTGCACTTGCCTCTTTCTGCTCATATCGCGCAGAAGTCAGTAGCTTCTACTGTCCCAGTTCCCCCTTCTCTGTACTGTCAGCTTTCACACCTTACCTTCTCCCCTCATTTCCACCCTAAGCCCCAACAGGATTCTCCCTCCAGCCTGCCTTGGATGCTAACAGAGAGATCAGGATGGATGACAGTCCAGCACTCAATCCCATTCAGCCCTAGACTGGAAGAGCAGGAATAGGGAGAAGAATGGAGTACTAGAAGCTATAAGAAGCTGAGGCCTCCTCGGCACACGTGGACTTGGCAGAAATGTTAGCCGTCAAAATCTTGACTCTGATTAGCACACAGAAAGACATGGGGCTTTCAGCTGCAAGCTTACAGCTTGACAGCATCTGCACAGGTGTTCACAGGAACACCTAGAGGCACATGCACGATGCACGGGCTACCTACCCGCTTGAATTGGATACCCCTGCTCCAAAGCATGGGAATGTTGAAGCTCTTCAAAAAAGGGCTCTAGAGCTTTATTTTGACATCATAAGAGAGCATATATCCCAATCCAATTCTGGTGGGAACTGGAAAGACAATCTTGGGGAAGCATCACCAGTCTCTCTCACAGCTAAGCAGTGCCTTCAGCCAGCCTCTGATATATGAACAAAACACATGGCAGTACGGTGCGTTTGAAGGGTTTTAGCAGCACCAGATTGGGAATACTGTATTACTCAGAGCATGCCATTCTTAAGCTTTTGTTTTTTTTCTCAGGGCTTACAAAATGAGAAACGGAACAATTCCCACGTACTGGCAGGGGTAACTTCTATATGCAGGAGAGCTACTTTTATTCCTGGCCAGGTGTTCAGAGGCCAGACCAATCCAGCCATGACTGCATGGTGCTGCACCTGTCTTAATGCACCCTATCAGGCTCATTCTGGATCTACGCCCCTCTTAACAGCGCTTAGAGTAATGCTCATAATTTGGCTGGCCTGTTGACTAGCCAGTATCCCCAAGGGTCAGATAAAAATGCCTTGCACTCTAGATCCAAGCTCTGGACTGCCAATTGGCAGTCCCTGGACTACAAGGCTGGTCTTTTCCATCTCAGTAGCTATGATCAGACTCTACAGCGCTAAGTTCCTATGGCTCAGCTATCATGAATCATTGGCTGACTGGAAGAAGGCAATAAATATCCACTAGGAGTTAGACCAAGACCCAGCAGATGATTTTATAAGTGCCTAGGCTAACCGTGCCGCTCCCCAGCTGCAGAGATTAAGCAAGTATACGCCAACAGGGGCACCTGATGTGGGAACATGGGGTACTTACCTGGCACATGAGGATCAAGGGTTCCCTGAATTCTGCCTGGCAAATGGCACAGATATCACCTGCCTCACTGCACTGCTGGCTGGTAGCACGAACTCCATAGGTCTGTTAAGCAGAGGGGAAAAAAACACACTCCTGTTAAAGGGTTTAAAGATAACCTGGTTTCTGGCTGAGCATATGCATAGACACTGCTTTTCACCCCTAGATTCCCTGCATTGCCTGGGAAGCAGGCCGGTGTTATGTCACTGCGTACAGGAAAGGATGATTTGGGGACCAGCGCACAGAACGTGGGGAGTCTGGAGTTCTGCGATCTCTGTTTTGTTTTCCCCTCGAGCTAACTCCACCTTTTAGTGCCTCCACTTGTGGAGCAATGATAATGAAATTTAATGAGCTCAACAGGGAGCTGAAAGGATTAATTCAGCATCATTTGCAGAGGTGTTTAGATGGTGGGAGGTATTATTATTATTAGCAAGTTAGACAATAGAAGAAAGGATAACAGCAGCAGCACCCAGAGGCTTCTCACTTATTTTTTAAAAAATAAGTGGAAGGTAAATGTTGCTTTTCCTGTTGTAGTAGTAATAGGGAAAACGGAAACATGCCGAGGAAAAATGACCAACCGAAGCCCACAGAATAAGCAAGTCAAGCTCTAACGAACTGTGATGATGTTCTGTTTTTTCCCTCTACAGTCTTGGGCTTTACTGCTCTGAAATATAGATCACAGTATTTCACTACAAGAGATCTAAATCTCACTACTGTATAATGCCATGCCTGGGACAATTTCTGCATGCTGTAGTATCTATTTATTTTAATACCACTGCACATCAGGCACAACATATCTCTATTTAAAGTCTCTCTTACACTCCACAGTTCAAAGTTTTATCAGCTTCTTAAGGTTTTGGCATCAGTGGATTAATCCATATTACACAGGGCTTCCAATCGGACAAAACAGACCAGCGTTACCACTGCCGGGACAGGGCAGATATCAGAAAAGGTTCCTAACACCCTGGACAAGAGATACTAGCTTTTCTCAGCCATGGGCTGAGAAAGTTATTTTCTTTGATGATCCTGATGTGCTGAGCAATTATCAACCCCATCATTCATTACTAACAAGATTCCACCTACGATACTGGCCTAACACACGTGCCTACTTACCTGTGCGGTGCAAAGGACTTTCAGTGCCTTCCGGACACTTCCCACACGACCACAGATGTCAAAAGACTGCAATAAAGACATTCAATTTCAGACACTTTTTACAAAATGTGTGTGTGCATGTGCATACAGTCCAGAAACTCAGGAAACCTGTGGCCCAGTTTCTCCAAATGGATACTTGGAGGGAACAAAGAGCCTAGACAACAACAGTGCCAAAAAAGATTTCATGGTGATCAAGAGATGTGTAATAAATGTGAACTGACAGTGCAGCAGGGTAGCCAAAAACCCTGGTAACAACAGGCTGCAAGTCAGGGACTTTACACAACAGAAAGGGAGGCAGCAATTAGGGAGTTGGGATAGGGTAAGCTGCCTGTCCCCACTAGGTAGAAGAGGGCTAAAATGGACCCATTCTCACCCTGGGAACGGAGCACCTGAGAAGCCCAGAAGTGAGGCTAGAAAACCTTGCAGCTCGCTTGAGAGAGAGGGAAGGAAGGGCAGGCTTTTTACATAGAAGAGAGAGAAAACTGCTTTTCTGAGCCTCTGGGGAAAAGGGGGATTTCCAGGGCAGTGAGGATCTGCCACACAGCCTGACACTACAGGGTCCAGATGATATTAGGAGAGAAGGAGTGGGAATTGCCTGTCCTTCTGCAGAGAGTGATTTAGTAGAGTGCTGTGATTAAATACTACCAAGAGAAGAAAGGCCTGAGGAGAGAGAAGGAGTAAGGCCAAGTTGCTCCCATCTGCTCAAAGAGTGAGAAACTTCAAATGCTGGGAAGGGATCCTGCATCTTGGTACCTGCACATGCCCAAAGACGGCCAAAGGCAGGCACAACACCAGGTCCTTTTCCTTCCGCCTCCCTCAATTGCCTGGCAAACATGATGTAACTGCATCTGAAGAGCAGTGATCATTCTGGGCTCTGGACTAAGAGCAGTTCAGAGCAGGGCAGAAAATGAGGCTGCAGAAAATGAGGCTGCAGAAAATGACTTATGAAAAGAGACTACAAGACATGTAAATATTTACAACTTAGCTAAGCAGCACAGAAGCGGGGCGGGGTGGGGGGGGAAAGATGTTAAACTGCCTACAAATATCAAGATGCTCAGCAGAGAGGCAAGAGAGGAGATATTCAGCATTCTTAAAGTGAAGACACGGTACAACTAACAAAGGGAAAACAACTTCAAAACCTAATTTGGTATGTCAGCTTCATCTTCCTTACCTGCTGGTGGGACACACTAAGAACTAGGCAAGTGTAAAGAAATGGTTGTGCAAAGAACAGAGGAACAGCTCTGCATTAGTTAGGAGAGGGGCCAGATGACATAACAGGACCTTTCATTTCTAAGGGTGAGAAGCGGCCAGGAGGGCAGGGGAAGGTGCGATGCAGAATACGCAGAGCTGTAGTGGACTAGCACTATGTCGGCACCAAAATGCCTCAAATTGGCTTTCTATTTTTTTTGTTAGAATGATTAAGTGGGCTCACTGCAGGGAATGTCAATGAGATCATCATGCAATTGATATGGAATCAAATGAAAGCACCAGTAATGCTTCCAGTCAGCATGTAAAAAGGCTCCCAGGGTCCTTCCAGTAATGCTTCCAGTCAGCAACTAGCACTTGAGACTGCAGCCTGCTACAGATATTTTAGTTACTAACAAGGATATGGATCAGCTCTCTCCCACAGTCCAATTCACAGCTTTTCCTGGATGCTTATTAATGTGACTTCTAACGCTTTTTCTCTGGCTCTGATGACTCCTATTCTCTCAGTCCATTCCCCCTCCCCACCTTTTTACTTCTGGAGTTTCCTGTACCCCTAGAGATGCATGTTTCAGTAATCTATTTGCTGCCAGTTTGCCTCCCCACCTACTGAAGTCCATGTTGCATCAGCCATCTTTCTAGCAATAGGATTGCAACAATCAGGTTCACAGCTAGTCAGTGCTCTCTTCAAGCCAATGGAAGATCAGCTGTAAAATTGCCACCATCAAACCCCTTCAAACTCTTCCAGTGACTGAGATAGGGTTCAACTCACAGTCCCTGCTGAGGCAAAGCAAAAACCTACTGTTACACTACTCGGCCAATTTTTTCCCCAATATCACTCTTACCCTCAGCAGGATGCTTCTGTTCAAAGCGGGGGAAAAAAAAGACCCGATGCCCTAACTTATTAACATCTGGGATTTCTTTGCCAAAATCAGACTGTGCTATGCTTGCACAGTCCACATAGGGACACCAAGATGGCCCCCACTGGCTGCGCTATATACAATCTTCTGAAAGTTGAACCTGCCCTTTGAATAGAGAGAGGGGTTGCAGCCCAGTGTGAGGCCTGGATTTTTGCCAGGAGCACAGAAGGTCTGAGTGCCAAATTGGCTTCTGTGGTTTTTTTTAATGTGGTTTGTGGCTTTGCTAACGTGGACTCCTTTGGGTATACTTTCAGTATCTCAGGCAAGGAATTATACTTGCAACTCTTGCGATTGTAAATGGGATACCTGCACCTAGCATTTCACGATCTGTATTGGAAGAGTGTGCTCCTGCTTTTCTCCCTCACTTCCAAGCAAAGCCACCAAAACATAGAGGTCTAATCCTCACCTGAACACAGCTGTGGCACTGGGAAGTTGCCACACAATGACCCGGGACAGCTTCCTGGACCTATCACTTTTCAGTATGTCTGTCCATCCATTTACACCTCTGATGAACTGCATGAATTAGAGGAAGGAACATGTATATTAAAGGTGTAAACAGCAGCCAAGTCACTTTCACACAAGCGTGTCCTACGCTCCTGATTCTAAGTCACAGCCAAGGCCACTAGATAGTTCTCCTCTCTTCATACAACTTCTAAATAACAGATCAGGTGAACTTTTCAAGATGAGGTTGTTTTTTCAACCAAAATTATCACTACACAACATCAAGCTACTCCCTAAAGAACTACTTACTCCTTCAGGTCAGGGCAGCACATTAATAAGCCTTAATGTACTTGGCCAGACCAGCCTCACCTGGGGTCTCCACCCACACACCCTGCCCATGGGTCTAGGAGCCCTGTTTAAACTCAGTCCTGAGCCTTTACTTCCTGCCTAAGTTATGCTATAGGAGTGCCTGGCCTCCAGCTCAGGAACAGCCACACCTGTGCCTAGTCATAGCTTCTATTAATCTGGGCCCCAAACTGGGGACTGAATTCACAGCTTTATCCTGAGTCTCCTTCATTGCTATAGACCTACTCAGCAATTTTTGGACTGTCTGACCTATGCTGCCCTTGCCAGATCTGATCCTGACCTGCAGAATGACTTCCTGGTTTAACCTCATGCTTGCTGCATTCCTATGACCTTGTCTGAGGATCTGGACTCTTGGTTCAACCTAGTTACCATCTCTGAGCCTGCTCTGCTCACCTTGCTGCTTCTTGGCACTTTGATGCCTCTTCCAGGCACAAGAAACTGTATGTAGGACTGCAGGTAAGCACCCCTTCCTCAGGTGTTACCCTCTTTTCACAAGAAAGGACATGGGAAAGAGCACGTGAAATGTCTTTATACTGTGATCTGGATCTCTGACCCTCACAAGGCCAGAAAGACATGCAGGGTTGGATTTTTCTCCTCCAGAGAGGACTCAGACAATGACACCTTTGAAACAGGAAACTGAACTCTCTACTATAACGCACATTAGCTCAGAGAGCTGGCAAAGTGTAGTTGAGAGAATGGATGAGTATGCAGGGGACCACTGTGGGCTCAGTGTTCCTTCTAGCCTGGCACTGTTCCCTCTGTTTCTGGCTTGACTGCAGAGCTGCTGTGATCAAGTCATCCTACTTCCTGTGACTTTCTCTATCATGCCTACAAAAGTTATAAATTCTGCAACAGCAGAGGTTGCATTGATGCACTTCTATACAATGTATAGCTGCAATTGCAGCTAGACCTCAGATGAGAGCTATAGCATGGTTCAGGAATCTGTCAGTTCACCTTGTCTCCAGGATGCTCAAACACATACCCTTTTCTCCCAGTACTTCAGTCTGCTTCTGCAAGCCTATAGCCCCTTTGTCTTAGGCAGAGACAAGCATCAGGGCTGCAGCAAACTTGACTCATTTGGCACCTTCCTCAGAGGGATTCATAACACAGGTGCTTCTTTTGTTTGCCTCAGCTACTGCTCTTGCTTCTAGGTATGGCGACATACAACTATAAATACATTTTGATTTACATAAAACATGCAATTATTTATTGACCTCAGACTTAGGACTTGCTTAAAAAAAAAACCTCATGCCTTTCACTGACAATTGTATATGCAAATTTTTAAATTGTGCTTCTAACTTGCTTTTTTTGAGGAAAACTTTCACTGTATTTGTCTATCACTGGAACACTGGACTTGTATCAGCCAGACTGGGACCTAGATTTGCACCAGAACTACCCATTTCCTCTAGGTAGGACTCAAGTCCCCTGCTCTGCTTGCTGTATTTGGTACTGTGGGTGACAATACCTATTCTGCCTCAAAAGACAGAGGAAGGTTCAGAGGGAAACACTGAACTGACTGCAACCTTCCTTTCAGTGCTGCATTTGGAAGCTTAGACAGCTGAGCCCCTTGCTTCTGATATCAGTGCTCCAAGGACTCCCATTTTCTTCCAGCCTTTCTGGAAAGGCACTAGGAAGCAGCAATAACTTCTTCAACCTGATGCAACACTGCATGAGCAGTAATAGATCTTCCTGTGGCTTTCAATGCCCACACAGTGGTGATGCAAAATGCTTTTGGCAACTAAAGCACATGCTGCCCCTACTTGCTGCATCTTCCCTTTCTGGGTGGTAGTGGCAATAGTCAAAAGGTATACTTGTTCCACTCAGCTCTTCTTTTTGCTCTGGCCAGGGAGCTGTAGCAAGGGCAGAAACAGATTATTCATGAGGTGTTCCTCACCTTGCAGAGGCTATACAGGATGATCAGGATCCCACCTAGGAAGTAGCTGCTTGATGGATCATCTCCCATGATGTATTTGTACCATAACTGGATGGGGACAAGAGAGCGGAACAGCTGGCTCAGCTCTTCAATAACCAAATAAAACTTTCCCTGTAAAAAAAAAAAAAAAGTGATACGTGATTTTTATCACTATCAGGAAGCTAAATGAAGAGAGGATTTTGAACATGCAGGAGTTAAAGCTGTAGAAAGAGCCCCAAAGAATGGGCTGCACCTTCTGTAAAGCTTCACCAAAGCTGTCCTTGCCTTCTGGTGCTCACTCCAGTTAGAAAGCCTTCCTTCAACGGAAGACACCTGCAAAGTAACACCAGCTCCCTCCTGGCTTACTACAACTGCTAGGTGCAACAATTGACATAGAGATGACATGGTAGGAAAAGCTAACTCAAAGCACCTAAGACAAGGACTGGGAAGCTGGCTACCTAAGTTTATCTGACTTAGGGTCTCCCATGCTGATGAAGAACTGCTTGCGTTCTGTCCCACCCTGTTTGAAAGGGAGAACTGATGCCAGGGTAATAGGTTGGGACAAGCTACAAGCACAGAACTAGCCATAAGCTGTAATGATGTTATCCAGACTAAAAGATTTGTTTTATGTCAACATTCTCCTATTTGATGGAGGAGGGGAAATTCCCCTAACTTTGCTGTGTTGTCCCAATTAGCTTTGTCATCAGTGATGTCATCACAGGTCAGTCACTAACTGGTGAGACCTGAAGAGGGGATTAAGTCCTCCTCAGGCCATGAGGAGAGCCACAGCCAGCGCTCTTCCCCTGGGTCTCCGATGAGATCACTCGGCAGGCCATCCTGCTGCATCGAACAAATCGAATCCTTCGGAGAGCTCTGGCATTCTCATGATCTCATATCCCTCGGGACAAGGAGTGAGGTCACACCAGCGGTTGCTAACAGACTGGTGCTGCTTTCTTCTTCTTCCCCATCCCCTCCTCCTTGTTAATCCCAGGTGGCATCACATAGCAGAAATGTAACAGCAACAATCTGGGGTCCTAAATGCAAGCAATTTATTAAATTAGCACAGAGGGCTCTCTCCAGCCTCATGCTTCGATACAATCATCATTTATTTTTGGAGCCCCTGTGACAGAGGGTCGCAGGCTGCTAATGACTATGCTGTTGCTTCTTCCCTTTGCACAGGCAGCTTTCTGCCCCCTCTGCAGCCAGCTCTGATGAAAGCTACCAGCAAGCCAACAGCAGCAAACTGCTTGCTTTCTCTCACTTCTTCCTCCCACTAGACTTGCACTTTTTTCAGCCTTGTTTTCCTAGCAGGCTGTGCTGGGACAAGTCAGTGCTGCTTTTCTTATTGCATCAGAAGGAGTTTCTGTCAAGCATTTGGGGCAATTCTGTGGTCCTTTTCTCTGAAGCCTGAAATCTTGGTAAAACTCATTCTTCTACCGCAGAAGCTTTTGAGGCACTGCAACACTACAGCCCACAGCTAGATTTAAGGAAAGGTGGGTCATAGAGGCAGCCCTCGAGGTCCAGGCAGGCTGCCAAACTACAAGAGGCAGAGCGGCTGTAAGATGCACCTGCAGCAAATGAAAAACTTTTTTTTTTTTTTAAAACTACAGAATCCCCATTCCATACAAAGCTTCCACAGTTTCCTTCTGTTGTCTAATACCAATCTTCAGTTTTCATTGGTAACTGCAGGGTATCAGGATTTCTTAGCAGCTAATACTTCTTAACACCCTGACAAGAGTGCAGAAACAGCTTTAATGGATGCATACCCCCACCCAGCCCATTAACACCATCCACTTGACCGTGTAAGAGAGGCCTGCTGATAAGCTTACAGTGAATACAGCTAGGGTGGGGGAAGCTCGGCAAGGACAGCTGAAGAGAATTTCAGCGGACTGCTGCTACAGTTAAAGGGTGTAAGGCTTGTCAGAGACCCCAGGCCACCACCCTGCATGAGTGCAACACCAGCCGCCTTTTTAACCAGGAAAAAGTGCCTGGAAATTCAGAACTATCTACAAAGGGCTGAGCCAGAAATAAGCGGGGTCCTTCTCCTGAAACAGAAGCTTAGAATACAAGGTGAATTCCCTGCACCTTCAGCAGTGAAATTTAGCCTTCTGAAACCAACTTATTGCAAGCAGCACCCCTCTCTCCTAAATGCACTCGGTGCTCTGTTCTGTCTTCTGCTTTTCAGCTTTATTACATTTTGGCTATCTGGGTTGAAATTTTCCAGGCCAAATGCTTGTCTCAAGCTGAATTTTTGCCCGAAAGCTTCAGCTAAAGCATTTCAGCTATTTTCCAAGATTGGGAAAAATCATTGTTAATTAAACATGAATATAATTATTTCTCCTGTGATCTCTGGTTTGGAACAAGAGCTTGAAATAATGCAAGGGCTGCCTCTCTGTTGGGTAACTTATCTCTTCCTGTTTCATAAAGATCTATGGAAATCTAGGCAGCTTACAAACCTGGGAATCTTCTCTTGAACGCACTCTATAGAATAAGCAGATCTCTGTGGTGACAATCAAGGAAAGCTATCGGTGGTGAGCCTGTTGCAGCCACAGTGCATGACTGGATTGTGCAGGAACCAGCCCCACAGAGCAAGTGAGCGTGTCCCCGTGCTGGACCACAGAGACTATACAGGATATCACTTAAAATTACAGCTCCTAGTTGGGGTAGAGTCAGACACTGGAACAGAGTCTCTGCTTTGCTTGCAACAGGCTGGAGTTAAGCCTGACTACAATGAAAAAAGAACATGAAGCCTGAGTAGCGATGATGGAGGTGGGAGAGAGAAATCAGGATGAGGAGGGGCATGGGGCTGGGGATGAAAGGTGGCGAGGCCCGAGAACTGACCACTGCCAAGGCAGAGGAACGAGGGGAGACAGGAGAGGTGAAGCAGGCTGTAACAAGGCAGAGGTCCACAACCACCAGAAAGCACCAGGCTCCAAACATCCAAATATTGGCATACCTCCCTAGCACAATCTTACCTTGCCTTCTCTGTTGGCTCAGTTTTTTGTAAAAGCTGACAGCCTACTGCTACCAAATGCTCCATGAGCAGAAGCGGCCAGGGTCTGTGCTGTGGGTCGAATTATACCAACTCTGCTGATGAGCCACGTCATGCCACACAGGGAAATCTCCGGTTACTTTTGTCCAGAATGCTTTGTTACGTTCAGTGACTCCCTCTTCTTCCACTTCCTTTACCACATTAAAAGACCGTTCCTATATTTTAAGTCAAGCATTCATTTGGGAGGAGCAGAATTCGGGCTTTCCATACAATCTCAATTCTCCTTCTGTATATACAATACTATGTAGTCTTTAATGATGTGAACAAGTACTATTTTTTCATAGTGAGCGGTACTCGTTAAGTATGTGACTAGCATTCTATTACATTCTCATTAATTGGTGTCAAATCTGCATCCTATCACTTCAAGCTATTCCAACTCTGCTCCGAGGAGAAAATTACTAACATTTCCTCAATCTTTTTTATGATATCACCACTACAGTATAAGATTTTTAACAGTAACTTATTTTTACTCTGTTGGCTGAAGTAAGAGGCAGCTATCATCTGCGTTTTCTAAATGAAACCTTGAGATATATCAAGAGCAAGGTTAAAAGTAACTTATTTTTTGGAGTCCAAACTGAGATGTCTGGGATTGGACTTTTTACAAAGCACTTAATTTTATAGATCATGTTACCATTAAAAAGTTAAGTCACTGACTTCAGTTTGCAGCTGTAGATGACTTTCCTAGCTTCACATAGGAACTATTTGGCAAAGAAAAGGATGGAATTCAATTCTCCAACGTAACATTCAACTTTAACTTTCAGAAAATTCTTCTTTTTCTGATGGTCTGTCTTTATTCCCTTTATTCCCTATAAACTTCTCAATTTATACAACAGCTTTCAGTACATCACCTTGTTTCATCTGCAGGGCACAGTATATCCTGTTTGGTGATGGATGAAGAAATGTTACAGAAAAATAACATGGGATCATGTAATTAAACTAAATCACAATACATACACACACCAAGGGGAGCAAATAACAGTTGCAGAAGCAATGCTAATTCCCACATATCCTAACTAAGCATTGACTTTGTAATCTCTTTTGACATAAGGCTTTGCCTAACAGTGCATGTGTGCCTCCACAGAAGGAAACAGAAAGACACGCTAAGTTTTTAAACAGTGTAATTAAAATGGGATGTAAGAGAAGTGAGAGAAGTTGCAATGAGGCAACTGTAAGTTGTGATTAGCATTCAAGGGAAGTTCCAAGTCTCACTTGTTCTGCTGCCAGCAGCATTAGGACATATTCTGAAACAGGAAGATGCTAGGAAAACTTTTGAGACCTGCTGGCGATTTGGATGGGAGGAGAGCATGCTCTTCCGAGATTGCAGGTCATGTTGCCAAAGCAAGAAAGTGTTGGGTAGGAGCAGTAAACAGGATTGTGGCACAGAGGGGGCTGGTGCAAATCCATGCAAGACTAATTAGGACTAACGCCAAGGCGGAAACAGGGAGAATGAGGCTTTTCATACTAGTTATGTATGAGAAAACCCACCCTATGTGAGATATGTCAGTGCATGTAATTTCTGAAGGTCACATTTCAGATGTTTCAAACTAGCCAGTTAAACTTGAAAGGTATCTAAGAGCAATGAGTCCCTTTTTAAAAGTTTAATAGCAGTGACTTTCAAAGGGTGTTAGGGAGAAGGACAGGAGAGAATCCCAGTTCCTCATTACCTAGTCCTATACTTCAGTCAATCTTTTTCTTTCCTGAGTAATAAATCCCACACTTCTGTCACTGGGACTCACCTGTCCCAGCCTGCAATGAGAAAGTCTTTGCAGAACCATCACACGGTTCCTAGACTGTGGCTCTACAAGGCTAGGACTGTTGTCTAAGAGGAGCAAATATATTTGAGTGAGTTCTTCCCCAAGAGCATCCAGGTGATCCTCAAGGAGGATCTATCAAGGAAAGGAAAAGAACCCATAACTATCACCTTTCTAGAAACGTTGCCTTAGCCACACTCTACGAAAAGATTAAGATTACCTTGCATATCACACAGTACAAAAGAGCACAGCCATGGAACAGGAAGATCTTTGTCTTTACCTGGATATTTTTTGTAACATATCATCTATGTGCCCATTTGCAGCACTCA